TAGAGACAGGGTTTTGCTATGTTGCCCAGGCTAGTCTCAAACTCCTGGCCTCAAGTGATCTCCCACCTGGGCCTTCCAAGATGCTGGGATTATAAGCTTGAGTCACAGCACTAGTCCCAAGATATATATATTGATCATATATTGTGCCAATTATTTCTCTAGGCATCAGAATGAGTATAGTAGTGCCATAGATGGCAGCTATTATTCCTAATAAGTGTTTCTGAAATTGAAACAATGAACAGAATATGATAGGTAATAAAGGAAGAACAGTAATTGCCTATGAGAGAATGCAGGATCAGAATCAGAGGACGTAACTTTCCCAAGATCATGCAGCTGATCATGTGTTAGAGGGTTGCTATCAACCTAAATTCCTCTGTCTTAAAAGCCTAGGCCCTTTCCATCATAACCTAAAAGGGTTAGGGTGAAGAGATCAGGATTTAGATAATTGGGGAGGTGCATTCTAAAGCATATAAAAAATCATTGTGAGGTATTAGAAAGAACACAGATCTTATTGTGTACCAGTTTTAGGTTTCAATTCGAGATTTCATAACTAGATGATTTTGGGCAAGTCACTTCTTTCTGAGCTTCAGTTTTTTATCTTTAACATGGGGATAATAAAATGTATCTTGTTTGGTTGTTGTGAGGATTAATGATGCTATATGCAAAGTGTCTCGCACAGGGCCTGGTTTATAATAATCCTGATAAATATCTAAATATAGATAACCTTGATTTATGAAAGTGAACTCCCTATTGATGGAAGTATTTGAGCATTAACTTAATCAACAGATTCATTAAATACTTAATCCACAAATATTTCATCGACAAATAAAGTTTATCTTAGAATAGTCTACGCCTGGGTGGGAAGTTGGACTGGATCACGTCTAAGTACTAGGACCAAACTTGAGATTATATGACCTTTCTCCCCTTGTACCTGTTTAACTTTGGGTGTGTCTAATTAGGCTTTTGTCTTTCTTCATAGGAAAGATGAAGGGGAGGCCTGGGTGAGCTGTCATCCCCCAGGTAATGCCCACAAATCTGTATGCACTCCCTTAAAAGAGGAAGGATTTACTACCTTTAAAAGAAAACTTCCTACTTTCTCTTGGCCCAGCCTCCTTGCACAGTGCTCATAGTCTGCAAATGTGCTTCACCAGTCTGGACTATATGGACGTCACCCCATTCCAGGGAAAGGCCTTCAGATTGGTTTTGCATTTGGAACCCAGAGACTTATTCATGGAGATATTACTAATGAATCTTAATCAGTCCCTTATTCCTATGCTGTTGTATTTAAGCAGTTTTATAGCTTCAACTGAGACCTTCCTGATGATAATTTCTAGATACATAGCGCTAGTCCTGACCTCTCTTCAAGTTCAAGCAGAGATTGAACAGTTGTCTGCTAGAGATTTTTGCTTAAAGATCTTGCTGTCATCTTAAATTACTTGGCTTAGTGATAAAATCCAAAACCAAGCTGAGCACATTTGTTGTCAAATGGTTTCTCTTTCTTGATTGTTTTCATTTCTTAAGTTACCATCATTCTTCTAGGCATTGTAGGGAAAAACCTAGTTATTTCACCCTGCCATATCCAGACAGCTCCCAAGCCCTATGAAGTTTTCCTTTGAATGATACTCTGTCATTCCCAACCATTCAGTGCACATTATGACCAGTGTGATACTATTCCAAAAACAAATCAACCTTCTTTCTAAATTCTGTGAGAAAGTTTAGTTCACTTCAGATGCCACTGATATATTTTATTTCTATAAGAAATAAAATTTGAAATGTAGAGTCTTCTTTTTTGTGGGATGGGAAGGGCAGGGTCTCTCTCTCTCTCTCTCTTGCCCAGGCAGGAATACAGTGGCCCAATCATAGCTCACAACCTCAAGCTATCCTCCTGCCTCAGCCTCCCTATTAGCTAGGACTACAGGTGCATGCCAACATGTCCAGTTAATTTTTTTTAATTTATTTTTTTGTAGAGATGGATATAGCTGTGTTGTCCAGGCTAGCCTCAAACTCCTAGCCTCAAGTGATCCTCCCATTTCAGCCTCCCAAATTGCTAGAACTATAGGTATGAGCCACCACACCCAGCCTAGGATCCTTTTTTGAGGATGCTGCACGTGTGAAGAGGATAGTAGCTAAAAGATCTCACAGTCCAGGGTTTTAATTTTGCTTTAAAAAATGGGAGTAATTGAAGAAAGCAATTTAAAAATATAGGTTGCGGGGCCAGGCGCGGTGGCTCACGCCTGTAATCCTAGCTCTCTGGGAGGCCGAGGCGGGCAGATTGTTTGAGCTCAGGAGTTCGAAACCAGCCTGAGCAAGAGCGAGACCCCGTCTCTACTAAAATTAGAAAGAAATTAATTGGACAACTAAAAATATGTAGGAAAAAAAAAATTAGCCGGGCATGGTGGCACATGCCTGTAGTCCCAGCTACTCGGGAGGCTGAGGCAGGAGGATGGCTTGAGCCCAGGAGTTTGAGGTTGCTGTGAGCTAGGATGACGCCACGGCACTCTAGCCCAGGCAACACAGTGAGACTCTGTCTCAAAAAAAAAAAAAATATATAAGTTGAAGGTAGAAGAAAGAAGAACTGAAGAACCAATTCTTAGAGGGGAGAGAGGAGATTGAATTAAGTCAAGAGACTAGGAAAAAAGGTGAGGTAAGTGCAGATAAATGTGTGGGCATGGACATAGAAATTTGTGGGTAACTTACAGCCTCAGTTTTCTGTATGAAGTTGGAGATAATGTCAACTCTTAAGGACGAGGGCCTTTTGTTTTTGTTTTTAAATAACAGCTTTACTGAGATAAAATGTGTGCTGTTTACGTGCTACTTTACACACATTGTTTCTTAAAATCTTATCAGGTAGGTACTGTTAGGATTCTACGATTTTTTTAAAACAGCTTTATTGAGATATAATTCACATACCATAAAGTTTACTTTTTCTGTTTTTTATTTATTGATTTTTTTTTTTTTTTTTTAGAGACAGGATCTTTTTTAGAGACAGGATCTGTCACTTAGGCTGGAGTGTAGTGGCGAGATTGTAACTCACTGCATTCTTAAACTCCTAGGTTCAAATGATCTTCCTGCATCAGCCTCCTGAGTAGCTAGAACTATAGGTGCGTGCCACCATACCTAATTTTAAAATTTGTAGAGACAGGATCTCCCTCTGTTTCTCAGGCTGGTCTTGAACTCCTGGCTTCAAGTGATGCTCCTACCTCAGCCTCCCAAAGTGTGGGATTACAGGTGTGAGCCACTGCACCTAGCCTAGGTTCACCTTTTTTAAAAAAAAATTTTTTTTTTTTTTTTTAGACAGAGTCTCACTCTGTTGCCTGGGCTAGAGTGCCGTGGCGTCAGCCTAGCTCACAGCAACCTCAAACGCCTGGCTCAGGCGATCCTTCTGCCTCAGCCTCCCGAGTAGATGGGAATACAGGCATGCGCCACCATGCCCGGCTAATTTTTTCTATATATTTTTAGTTGTCCAATTTCTTTATAATTTTAGTAGAGACAAGGTCTCCCTCTTGCTCAGGGTGGTTTCGAACTCCTGAGCTCAAACAATCCGCCCGCCTCGGCCTCCCAGAGAGCTAGGATTACAGGCGTGAGCCACCGCGCCTGGCCTGGGATAATATCTTCTTTAGCCCATATCACTGTAAAAGCAGTATTCTACTTAGGCAAATTTTCCAGATTACTGAAGCTTAATCCTTTACTATGTAATTATGTATATATACTGTAGATAAATACATATATGCATTCTGATCTTCACCTTTCATTCTGGAAGAATTACGTTTCACAGCCAGTAGAACAGGTTGAGATAACTCTAACAGCCCTCCTTACAAGTGCTATATCGTTTTTCTAAATCTTTGTTTCTAGTTTTTAGTCTTTCAGTGTATTCCCTCTCAAATTAGGTTTCCTAGTCTAATGTTCTTTCCACTTAACCAGTCTTTTAACACAGGCACCTATTTTTCTTTCACTGGCCAATTTCATGAACATACCATTTATACAGATGCCTGAATTGAATCTTCAAGGAAAAAAATGTTCTTCTCATTTTTTGAGACATGCTTCTTTTGTGCCTTAGGGAAACCATCTTTGTATGGCAGCCTGACTTGTCAAGGAATTGGCCTAGATGGTATCCCAGAGATTACAGCTTCTGAAGGATTTATTGTGAATGAAATAAACAAGGTATGTTTTTAGTCTTCTAGATGGCACAGTGTTCAAAACTATGGTAGTGCCCATATATCTACTTTTGATATTTTTACTATTATCAGTGAGCTGTCATCTCCACTTCATTTGTACAATAATCATAGTTTTTGCCACCTTTGAGTGTCAAGAGTTTTCTTCTTCTCTTGTATTTACATACAGTTTTTTTAAAGAATATGAAGGGGTGGGTTTGTGAGAAGGGGTGCTCAGTTTCCTTTTTTTTTTGTTGAGACAGAGTCTTTGTTGCCCTTAGTAAACTGCGGTGGTATCATCGTAGCTCACAGCAACCTCAAACTCCTGGGCTCAAGCGATCCTCCTGCCTCAGCCTCCTGAGTACCTGGGACTATAGGCATGCGCCACAATGCCCAGCTGATTTTTTTTCTTTTTGGTAGAGATGGGGGTCTCACTCTTGCTCAAGATGGTCTCAAACTCCTGAACTGAAGCAATCCTCCCGCCTTGGCCTCCCAGAATGCTAGGATTACAGATGTGAGCCATCGTACCCGGCCACATAATACTTTTAAGTGCAATCAAACTTCCTCTTATTTCCGTTAGACCAGCTCTGATAATGTGAGCTACGTGTATAATTTTGAATTTTCTAGTAGCCACATTAAAAAGATAAAAAGAAATAGATGAAATTAATTTTAATATTTGATTTAACCCAACATATTTAGAATATTATTTCAACCTGTAATTAAAATAAAAAATTATTAACAAGATATTTTATACTTTTTTTTATTAAGTCTTCAAAATCCCATGTATATGTTATACTTACAGTATATCTCAATTCAGACTCTAATTTTTTATTGGAAATACTATATTTAGGTTTCATAAAATTTATAGTTGAAAACATAGAGTCACATGTCCAAGTAGTTCACTAACCTGATGTGGCTAGTACCATATTGGACTGCGTAGACTTACAGTCTGTGTCTGGCAAGGCTTTGGTGAAGAGCCTACATTAATAGTGCTTAATAGTTTTTCTCATTTATCTTTGAGGTGAGTAGATGGCTAAGCTAAGTGGAGAACCCATGATTTGCCTTTTCTTACTCATTCTGACTGCTGTAGTCTGTGTACTCTGTTGAGATGATTCCCAAAGGGTGGACCAGCCTTTTTTGTGTGTAATTAAACTTTTTTTAGCTGTAAAATATTTTTAGTATACTGACAAGTATAGAGAAAACTTTGCTTTTTACGTAGGATGTTTAGCAAATGTTCATTCATTACCTTCTTTGTGCCAGGTAAGAGACTACATGTCATTATATATATTTTTTTGTTCTCGTCTACTCTGAAGAGATAGTATATATTTTATATTTGTTTTTCATAAGTAGCTATGGGTATTGTATAACAGTGTTGGAAGATCTGAGTCTAAGTCTTAGTTAACTGCCACTTATTAGCTATATGATTTTGGACAAATAAGTTCTCTGAGCCTAAGTTTCCTCATCTATGAAACAGACAATATACTGCCTCATAGGATGGTTAATAAGTAGTGAGACTTCATATGGATCAAACTGCAAAATAATTACAAAAGATAGTTTTGGTTGTTTACCATAACAATCCTGTGGGATTGGCATTTTAAATGTCCATTTTGCAGATAAGCAAACAGACTCAGAGAGGTTAATCCCTAAATAATCGAAGTCAATTTGACTGTATGCTGGAATTGAAACCCAGTTCTAATGATTGTTAACACTGCCTTGCAAACCTGCATTTTTCCCAGGCATTTTGCCAGTATCCATCTACAGCCTGGGGGCTGACTTCTCTCTTTCCTTCATATTCAGACCTGGATACAATCCTTATCTCTTCTAACATCATTGCTAATTTTTGCTGTGATCCTGCTGGGTGGGTTCAGACAGTAAGTTGCTTATAGTTGAACATTCATTTGTTTCTAACTGCCATGAGTTACTTTGCTATTTCATATTGCTACATTGTTCTATTAAATAGTAAATCTGTCATTATGCTTAAATGCCTAACCCTGGTGGATTAAAAAAGTTTGACTTTGAATTTTATCTTAGCATGGCATATTCACATTTTTTTCCTCTTAGATTTTGTCTATTTTGATACCTTCTGCAGTTTTTCTTTAAAATGTTTTCATTAACATCATGATTCTCTACTGCTGAGGTTGGAAGGTAGTTCAACATTTATCTTCCTCTGTAGTCTGTTTATGGATTCAAGGTTGATTTGCAGTATTAATAAGCAGGAGAAAAGCACTGATTCTTGAAGTCTGTCACATAATTAGCCCCAAAGAAATGTATTCTTCTGAGAGCAAATGCAGTCCTTACAGAGGCCCAAACACTAAGTTTTTGGAGCTCCTTGCATCCTTGTTGGTTGAATATTCAGCCAAGAGAGTTTAGCTGACACTTTAGTTTCTGGTACAGTAGACAGTTCCAAATCCAGGTCAGCTCTCTTGTAGCTGTAGGCTTTGTCATGCAGTTAGAAGCAAAAAGTCATTTAATGAAAAGCCTGCAGGCAGCCAGGCATGGATATGCTGGCTAAGAAAAAGTACTGTTTGCATAGATAGCCTAATTGTCTTTTTAAAGGAGTAGATGACCTGTAATAAGAGCATATTGACTTTCAGTGATGAGAACATTATGATTTTGAAAGTGTTCTTTCTAACGAACTGTGAGGACCTGTGCTTGTTGGATATAAAGAGGTTCAGAAAAGTCCTGATTATTGAAGACATTTTCATTGTCCTGCAGAATTTCCAGAGACTTTGAAGTACTACTGCAGAAGAGATAACAGGTTAGGGGCCCTTTGGTGGGTGCAGCTCCTCAGCTCCTTACAGGAGATATACACTTAGGTGGTGGTATTGGTATTGTGCTGGTTAGAGTAAGAGACTGTCATATTGCAAGAATCCTGGAGGAAGGATTTACCAAACCTTTTATACCTCTACACATGCTACCTTGAAGCGCCAGCATATTTACCTGAAATGGTTGCAAATGGCCTTTAACAAGTCATGTCTCCTGAATCTTACATCAAGTTCTATGTATACTTACCTGCTATGCTACCATTGTTATTTTGCTACAGTAGCTGAGAGACAGGTGATAATGACTAGGTAAAACACATGGGGCATCAAAATACAGCCATGTGACAATGACCAGTGTATGAACATGTACAGTTTAAGTCCTAGGTGGGAATAGGCACTGCAAACCTGACCTGGGCCTACACATGTTGTGGGTGTACCGTAATCTACTTCACCAGTTTTCTCTGGTAACTGTTAATGTCAGTAGTCTAACATTCTTTCTGAAAGTTCTGATGGGCAGCAAGTTTACTTTAGACTTGTCTTTTAGGTCCTAGGCTTGAGGGCTAGTGCTACGTTTCCTCACATCTCTTTATGTACTCTTCTGCTGATCCTGTTCCTTGACCCACTGCTAATGGAGAATATTGGTATTAGATTTTCTTCTAAATATTAATGTTCTCATGCTTGTCAGTTGTATCTTATTGGTGGTCTGTTTTCTGTGTAACAGATTATTTCAACATAAAAAGATAATGGCATCTCAGTGATACCAAATTACATTGCAGCCCTCTGCAGTAAAAGGACTGCTGAGCTGTGGGGGAGGGGCAGTTTTATGGGCTGGGAGGATGAGAGAGGGTACACTTAGAAGGTGAGAATTTCCTGTACTCCTAATGTTTTCTTTAAGAGGCTTGAATTACATTGGAATAGCTTTACTGATGAATTTCATCTTTTCCTCTTTGTATAGAAAAGCATTCATATTTCATGTCCAGAGGAAAGTGCATCTTCTAAGTTTTTGGCACCATACACTACTTTTTCCAGAGTTCATACAAAAAGTGTAAGTATTTTGATAAAATGAAGAGAAAATGTAATGCCATTGTAATTTTTCATTTTATGTGCTTGTCTAGTGCTATAAACATTCATAATTAATATATCTTTCATTTACTTTGTACTGTAAAATGATACAGCTGATGAAATGTGATGTGCTTGGCAAAACTGGTCCTCGAGTCTACGTGGAATATTTGTACAAATTTAGTCTCTGGTAATCTTAGAGATTATATGAAATTCCTTATATATGTATTAGCAGAGGTAGTTACCAGCTTTTGCGTAATGATATAATAGCTGATGCTCACATAATATACCACTGCTCATGTTTTATTCCTTTGCCTGCAGGACAGGGACATTTTCTCAAAATTCCAAATATACCATGTTGAGGAATATTTTCGAAGATCTTTGTAATAAAGCCTTTACTACCGTGGGATTTTTTGAAGGAGAAGTGAGAAATTGGTGGATAAACTGATTGTTTTAAAACTGTCCACTCCTTACTGTGTGGTACATTTTTTAAAAGAGCTACTTTTTTACCCTATTTCAAAACAAATACATATTTAGTGATGAAAATTTAGAAAATTTAAAAGAAAGTGAAAATCACTCTTATTTCTGTAACCTAGAGATAATTTTTGTGAACTTTTGTTGTATACCCTTTTTTAATAATAATCATAGTAGTAAAGCTAATGTTTATTGATTGCCTATCAACCAGCATGCACCATGGTAACTACCGTGAACTAAAATAAAATTTTAAGGCTCACCGCTCCCCCACCTGCTGACCGAATGGACCCCCTCATGGCCAAAGGAATATCCTAAAACTAAATTGTCTGCCACGAGGAGGGAGGTCAGAGAGGCCTCATCATGCCCCCATCCCTTCTTGGGGACATCTTTTGTAACCCATTAACAGGCCTAAGGGTATGCAAGACAAACCTGCAGGTCCTCAATTTACACAACAAATCTATGTCTGGTGGCTTATCTTTGATAAACAGCTCCTTATGTTAAAACATTCCAAGCCTTTAGACAAAGCTTCATGTCTTTAACCAATTACAAGTCAAAGAATCTTTAAACCCACCTATAACATGTAAGCCAGCACTCCCCACTTGGAGATGGCCCACCTTTTTGGGCCAAACCAATGTATGCCTCCCATGTATTGATTTATGACTTTACCTGTAACCTCTATCTCCCTGAAATGTATAAAACCAAACTGTAACCCAGCCACACTGAATCCACTTGCTCAAGACTTCTTGAGCATGACACCTGGTCATGGTCCTCAAATTTGGCTCAGAGTAAATCTCTTTAAAATTAAATTACAGAGTTTGGCTTTTTTTTCCATTGACACTACATATTATTCTACTTAATCCTCTCACTGGCACGCGCCTGTAGTCCCAGCTACTTGGGAGGCTGAGGCAGGAGGATCATTTGAGCCCAGGAATTTGAGGTTGCAGTGAGCTGTGATGATGCCAGTGTACCCTAGCCCAAGCAACAGAGTGAGACCCTGTCGAAAAAAAAAAAAATCAGTGGACTAATGAAAAGATAGTGGATTTTAATGTACATTTATATATTTGAGTTAAAATATAGGTCTTTATGTATCATTTTAAAATTATTTCCTACTTTAACTGAATATTTTGATTAATTGACCTACCACTGACCCCTGTCCCTTAACTAATAGGGCTTTTACTATATTGCCTTTCTACCATTTTGATTTTATTTCTTTATATTCTTGTCAATCTTTGGTTTTCCTACTTTCTACCATTTTGATGTGGCTAACACTGGGAATTAGATTCTTTTTTTTTAATTTTATGAGTTTGAGAGATGGTATTTCATTGTTATTTTAATTTGCATTCCTTTGCTTCACCATGGATTGACCACTTTTTCATAAATTTGTTGACCATCTTGATGTTATTTGCCCATTTTTCTGTGTGAATTTTTTCTGTGTGAATCTTTTCTGTATTGTTAGAGCTCTTTTTAAATTAAGGGAATTGATTCTTTGTCATGTATTTTGCAAATAGTTTTTTCTAGCTTATTGTTTATCTTTAAGTTTGTTTATGGTATCTTTTGACATACAGATATTTAATATTTCTGGATAATAAAACCTATTAATTAAATTCTTTATAGTAACTGCCTTGGGATCCTGCTTAGGGTAGTCCATGATTTTATTTGTATTACTTTTAATTGCATAGCACATTCAGTAAGAGCACAGACTACAGAGCCAGACTCCTTGGATTTGAATGCTGATTCTACAGTTTACTAAGCGTGTGATCTTAGGCCAGTTGCTTAACCTCCCTGTGCCATAGGTTCCTTATCTTAAAAAATGAGGGTAAAAATATTCATCTCTTAGGGTTGTTATGAGGACTAAGCAATTAGAATAGGGTTTTAGAACATAGTAATCTAAGCACAATAAAATGCTTATAAGATAAAATATAAATGTAGTATTTTGTTGAATTTTTATGTTTTATTTTTTACATTTCAATTTTAAAATGATTAGCTAGTCACAACACTATAAAGTAATTCATCCTTTATCCTTGACTTAAATTGTCATCCTTATCTCATATTTAGGATTGTCCCATTAATCTGTCTGTTCTTTTGCCGTGACTAAGAAATAGTTCTTTAGCTTTGGACTCGGACTTAGGTTTGTATCCTGGCTCTGCTGTGTCACCTTGAGGAAATACTTAATCGCCCCTTAAGCCTCAGATTCCTCATCTGAAAGCTAGGAATACTACCTAACTTCCAGATTTTTAGGGGATTGTATGAAATAGTGTCTATTACATGTCTGGCACATAAGAGATACTTAATAAATGTTAGTTTCCTTTCCTCTTTTCCTTTAACAGAAATTTTTATTAAGGAGATAGCTGGTATGACCTATAATCTATTCTTCAATTCCTGTCACCTTTTAAGAAATAGATAGTTTAAACTTAATTTCTTTTTAGGGCCAGGAACTGGGACCCTGATGATAGGTAACAAAGATAAACAATACAACATCCCTGTCCCCTTCAGTGACAGTAGATTAACTCAGAAGATACAATACAATATATCAAACTTTCTTAACCTTGGCACTATTGACATCTTGGACTGGATTCTTTATTGTAAGGGGCTGTTCCATGCATTGTAGGATGTTTAATAGCATCCCTGCCCTCTACCTACAAGATACCATTGGGACATCCCTTCCCCTATCAGTTATGAGAATCAAAAATGTTTCCAGATATTGCCAAGTGTCCCCTAGGGAGCAAATTCACCGCTGGTTGACAGCCACTACAACGTATGAGCATAGTGCTAAGGACTACTGAGGGAGGAAGTGATTCACCTTTTGGGGGAGTTGGGAAAGCCACTCACCTTTCGAGAAGTGGTCATTTTTTAAAATCATTAACTATGCCCTTTTCTATTTCTTATTCTGTCTCTTATTTGAGCTTACTAAGAGATGATTCATCCATTTATTAATCATCTATATTGCAGGTACTCTGCTGAGCACTGAATAAAATGAATAAAACTGGCCTTGGAGAGCTTACCTTCTAAGGGTATGGGGTTAGACAGGATTTGGTGGTGACTTGGATGTGAGATGTGAGAGAAAATGAGGAGTTGGGATGATTCCAAAAATTTTGGCCTGAGAAGTGGGTAAATTGTGGTGCCATTTACTAATTAGAGGAGGAACAGTTGTATTGGTATGGGACAGAGGGAAATAAGAGTTCTGTTTGGACATGTTAAGTTTGAGATGTCCACTGTAGCCAAAGGTAGATTCCTAGCAAGCAGTTGAAAAGATGCCACCTATATCAGGAAAGAGGTTGAAGTATGTTTCTTACAGTCAAAGGAGCCACTATTAAGTTGATAGTCCTTTTATTCTGAGGAACCAGAATAAAGAAGAAAAGTCTTAGAAAATGTTAGAGCTAACTCATATATCCCTATAGTTCTTGCCAAATCTATTCGTTATAGTTTAATTGGCACAGACCAAAGTAAAATGGAAGTTGGATAATTAAAGCCAAAGTCCCTACTTTTTTCTCAATAATTTAGGTCATGTGAGAATCATTGTTGCTGGGAATATGTCTGGAATTATATGTTTCATTCCCACATTTCTGGAACATTTTCAGCTGG